AAAAAAAAAAAAAAAAAAAAAAGGAAAAAATGGAGCCTCTTATGCAAAAGCATCTTGTAGATGATGCAATCAGAATAGAGTGTTGACTTCAAAGATCCATTGTCAGAAATGCTGCTTATGACTACGAGGGCTTCCTGGCTTTCAAGGCAAACTTAGACCATGAGTTCTCTCTGTGTATAAGGGTGAATAATAATAGTAATAATAATAAAAAATCTGCTCTTATCCTACACAGTAGTTTCTAGGCATAGAAACCCTGAGTGTGCAAGGAGGCTGAAAAACTGGAGTTAGGGGCTCAGTGGCACAGACTAAGTCTGCCCTGATGTTTGCATAGAGCTGCTTTAGCTCTCTTCCTCTTTGTCTCAAATCCTCCGATGTTTCAGAAATGGGAGTTTCATGAGCTTTGCAGTTGTAGGGAAGTGATTTTTTTTTTTTTTTTTTTCCAGGAGGGATAAGGAATAGTGTTTGTGCAGTATAAGGCTCTTTCAGGACCACTTGGAAGCCAGTGGAAGGAACCTCCTGTCACCTTCCATAGGCTTATGGAGGCCCAAGGTTAAAGACATTTATATCATGGCTTGTCAAGTGATTTTTTTAATTTTTTTTTTTAATTTTTAAATTTTTTTTTGGCCAGCCTCCATTAACATCTGCCTGTCAAATTGTAGCAGGATAGGATGTAGAGAGAATTGTAAATCTTTGAGGAAAATAGGATTCCTTATAAAGAATGAGGGCAGTCGAAGAGGCAGTTTGTAGAAGTGGAGTGGCAATAAGGGTTCAAAGCCTTAAAGACTGTTTGAATATGCAGTTTTTCACATTTTCAGTGAGTATGTGACACACTTTTAATGTATTTTGAATGTTTAAGTTAATTAACATTAGGTCTTGAGCAAAAGTTAACAGAAACTAGCTCATGTTCTTGAGATCCTATGAGTCTAAATCCTATGAGATTTAGACTGTGGGCCAAATTGTCCTTTGGGCAACATGTTCTTTATCTCTGTAGATAATAAGGAATTATGTGAACTTCAGAGCCTGGCACTGGTGATCGGAAGAGAAATCTTTGACATCACACTGCAGTTTTTCCTCTGTCCTTTGTGTTTTGTTTTTATTTCTCTCTCTCCTACACACAACTTTTCCTTACAAGGCCATTACGTTGGTTTTATAAGTGTGTGGGGAGACAGGGTAACGAAAATGAAGAGCGAGTTGTACTTGCTATTGTTTGCAATTTTAATCTTGATTAGACCTGGTACAACTTCAATGCTGAACAGAATTATACCGAATAGTATAATACTAAGTTTTTTAATACAAAGGAGACTGGTAGGTAGAGGTCAGAACCTTAATAAGCATTCCAGCATTACCCCTACATAATTTCTGCTGATTTTTATTTTAAAGTCTCAGCATCACGGGGAAAGCACTGTAGGTCTCTTGTATTTTTTTATTTACTTGTTTTACCCTCCCCTGTTTCTGCTTCCCTCTAGTAATTCTGTGAGAGGTCTCCCATGTTTATTTTTAAAATTTTATTTGCTGTTGTGGACAGTGAGTCTCAGCTGCTGTATGATCCTGAGAACAATTCTCAACATTTCTCTCTCTCTTTTTTTTTCTTTTTTTTTTTTTTGTTCTGGTAGAAGAATCCCTTTCTGTTCTTAAGTCAGAAATGTTTAATGTTCCTCTTTCACTGCTCTAGTCTTCACCCAAACACTTCCCTTTGAAAGATGTACATTTTTGCACAGTAATGCTTTGTTGTTGAATTCTATGAAGTCTATTGACAAGAACAAAACACCATCCAAAATGCTACTATTCTTGTTCAGCAGGAAGTGTTATTTGGATTACTTAAATAGTAGGTTGCCAGTTCTTTGTCATTTTGATTGCTCTGGAATAAAAGATAGACACGGAGCTTGACTTGGCAGGGATTTAACTTAACTTGTTGCTTTTTAGCTGAAAAGAGAAAATAAAGGGCTCTAGAGATGTCTTTTGTGGTAGCCTTTTTGCTGTTCCAGTGAGGTCATGGAGAAGCTCCTACAGTACTGTAGTGTGCTGCTCTCAGCTGTTTTCTTTTTTTACTAAGAAGATTCAACTGTGTGAGACCATAACACGTAGATCTCTGAGACCAGAGGTGGAAGGACAAGAAAAATTACAGATATCCTGATCAAAGCTGCATATAACTAAGGCTTTTGTGTCTAATGTACTGCAGAAGAAAGTTACCTTTTTCAGAAGTAGCAGTGCATCATTTTGTTTTGTGGCTTTGGCAGATAGGAATTCATTTCCCAAGGGCTGTGCATCAGTCATCTTAATTTTGATGGCTACTCTCTTGCAGGAGCGTCAGAAACAGCTGGAAAGCCTTGGCATATCTCTTCAGTCTTCTGGAATAAAAGTTGGGGATAATAAGTGCTTCCTGGTTAATTTGAATGCAGATCCAGCTCTCAATGAACTTCTGGTATACTATTTAAAGGTAAAAATAAATATTGATATACATGTATAACTTTTTTTTTTAAATAGAATTGGGCATCTACTGCCATTGGCAGAAGTGTAATCAGATGATTTTATAAAAACTGCATATCTAAGGCATTCTCCAGTATTCATTGCTTTATTAAAAATAACATGACTGTAACCTTTTTATTTCAAATGTAATTCTTCATAGCAGAGGAAGGTTTGGAGATTTTTACATTTTTTTACTTTGATTTTTGAAAGAAATCTAGAGGCTTTATGCCAATTTTCACAAGGTTTTACCCAGAAAATTGTTATTCTTTTATGTGAGTAGTCCAAATTCTGACCTCTGTCTTCAGTTTACAAAATGCAGTTTTATTCCTCTTCATGCGGCTTGCCAGGAGAGAAAATCAAGTTCTGTTCTGCCTTAGCACTTCTGCTGATGTGCAGTCCCTGTTGCTGAGGTTAAACATAAAACACGTGACGTGACTTTTGGACTCTGCACTGAAACATTTGGGCAATTTAGTTTAACAAACTGTAGACATGGTCTGGAGTCAGGAGGAGAAACGAGATGCAACCATTTTTTAAATCACATGTTAGAGTACAAGTTCTAAAAATTTAGCAGTGAAAGACAATTGGCAGTTTGAGCTTCGCATTAAATCATTCTCTTCTCTTTGAAGTGGTCTGTAGTAACTCTCAAAACAGCCACAAAATTAGCAATGGGGCTGAAAGATGGTTTTGGTTTAGTTGGTCTTAGGAAGTACATGATCCTCTTCTATATCAGTCATCGTTGCTCTGTGACATCTCAATGAAAACAAGGGAAAGAGCTTTCTCAATGTTGTATCTGCTAAAAAACATTAAAAAGCACAGAGAGCTGAGCTGAGGTTTTGGGAGAAAAATTGAATTCTTTCCCAGACGCCTTGCACGTAGGTGTCCAGAGTGTGACTCAAGCTGCTAAATCAGCCTTGACACTGACAGCTATTAAAGCAGAGCCGACTTCTGTGGTGTTCATTGTGAACACACAACAAGAGCACGCTGGAGCCAAAGCCTGCTCAGAAACCAGGGCTTGACCCATCACTACCAGCAGAAAAGTCTCAGCTGATACTGTGCTACTTTCCTTTCCTAGAGAAAATCCCTTTGCACGGGGTAAGTTTTGTGTGTTTGTAAGTCTTTATTATTTTTTTTGAACAACGTGAATTTGTTGGTGGAGAATTTTGGTGTAGAAATCCGTGTTCTTTGAAATTCTTTCATTAAAATGACTTACACTTGTTTTGCCTGAAATCCTGAGATTAAACTCTTGCTTCTCAGAGTAAATGTCTTGCCCACATTCTCTTCAATGCTGAACTGCATGTGTACTAGATATTAAAAGTACTGAAGAACAACTTGATCTGAGTTATTTAAACTATTGTATTTATTTCTCAAAAATTGCTTAGAGATGCCTAAAAAAGAAGTGGATGAATTGAGGCATGTGTGGAGTCATCCTTTGTCTGCCAAATCCCTCACGCCTCAAGTACTTAGGAATTTCCTAACCTGTTGGATGATCTCAGTGGAACCTGTGTAATAGCCATGGATCTAACCACTGTGAACCTGTCTTAATTCCTCTTTGAACTCCTTTATACTTTTGACTTCTACAACATCCCGAGGCACTGAATTCCACAACTAAATTATAGAAACCTCTTCATCTTCGGATTTAACCATTGCCTATAAACTTTCCTGTGTGCTCCCTACTTGTCAGACAAAGGAAGGATTTACTTGCAACATTCCATTTTCCTTTTTGCCTCTAAGGGAAGTATTGAACAGCTTTCAAATTTGGGAACTAGAAGACAAGATACATCCAGAAGAATGGTTGAGTTAGAACTAGTGAATTTTTGTAATCCATTGTTAACATCTGAATTAATTTTTCCCCAGGAGCACACGTTAATAGGCTCAGACAACTCTCAAGATATCCAGCTATGTGGAATGGGAATCCTTCCTGAACACTGCATTATAGACATCACCCCAGAAGGACAGGTTATGTTAACACCTCAAAAAAATACTAGGTAAAGTAATAAAATGCAGTTCCAGTTGTATAATAACGGTAGTTTTAGCTGGTGTTTTATGAGTAGTGGTGCAAAAAGATAGTTAAAAGAATAATTTTTCCTATGTATTCTGAAATAAGAAAATTCTACTTCTTGTACCCTGCTTTTACGTTTTGTATTAATTGTCACCTACCCCTCTGTCAACTCCTATCTTTTGTTCTAATGAGATTTCTCTCAGTGATGGTGTTTGTAGTCTAAGTTTTCAAAGAGAAGATGAGTAAATTGCATATGCTTTCAGCATGAGGATACTGATTTGCATCTGTGTAGATGTAACTATCGAAATTTGAATTAATTTTCTAAGAAATCTGTTGATATGCAAAGAGCTGCTGAAGCATTTGTTGCTTTATTTGATTAAGTAGCAGTACTTGAAAAGCAGATGGTATGGTCAAATCGATTACAAGATGACATGCATTGTCAGCATCTCCAATAATTTATTGTTAGATACACAAAACTCAACAATTTCACATTTACCCCCATTTCTAGTTGATCTCATTTGAGCAAGAGATTGAACTGGATGACATCCCAAGATTCCCTTCAAACTTGAGTTACCCTGTCGTCCTGTTTTCAGACTTAATCTGACTCTGAAATAAAAGTAGTTTCCGATTATACTTAAGTAGTTTATTGCCTTTATACAGCAAAGGTCTCTGATGTCTTACTCAAGTGTTTCTATTTTGTGTTTGTATTTCAAAGTAGTGCAAAAAGGGTTTATTTCCAGTGACAACATCTTTTCTTAGGCCCCTCATTTTTAAGATCTAATTATACTCCCCAGACATAGCTGTCATATCTATCTAAAAGTATTGAACTCCATAAGCTTAAGCAATCAAAAGAAGCTGAGTTTGAGAAGTACAGGGTAGATCAGTGAAGTTTCTGGGGATATTTTGCCTGTTTGCAATCCATAAACCTGTTCTCCTACCTTAACTAGTTACAATACTGTAGTATTGGGGAAAAAAAAAAAAAAAAGGCTTATATGGATGCATTTGCTTCAGATTTTTGCCTTTTCACAGGACGTTTGTAAATGGTTCTGCTGTCGTGTGTCCTATCCAGCTACATCACGGAGACAGAATACTGTGGGGAAACAACCACTTCTTCAGGTACAAAAGTTGTTAAAGAAATTGTTTAATCTTAAGGTACAAGGAAAATGTCAGTGGAACGTTCAAGCTGCAGGAGGAGGTGATTTCTTTTTCATTGGGGTTATAAAGGCAATGCTGATGACTTCTTGGATGCTATATGTCACACAACTGCGTGTGATTTTAATTTCAGAGCATTAGGTTAACTTCTTGTATTTTCGAGGCACTGTAACCTTGCTGATGAGGACCTTGCTGTAGTTATCAGTACTGTTATCTTACTGAAGAGATTTAATTTTGGAGCTGGTAACTTTAATGTGGTTTGGTACCACATACTAAGTACTTTCTCTCCCACAGTGAAAATATTACACCCAAGCTTTGACTTGAATAGGTTGCCTTTTGCATTTTGCAAATAAGGGGTTAGATTTTGACCGATGTTATACAGTGATTTGGGTCTTACAAAGTCACTGTGTTCCCTGTTCCCTGGAATTCCAGCTCCAGCCGTACCTACAACCTTCCTGTATCACACAGGATCACTGGTAGAAGTTTTCTCCAGAAGACTCTGGTCTTGAAACCCTCTGTGTCTCATCTGAAATACTTTAAAGATCAGTGGATTTAAATGATAATCTAAAACTTAATTGCTTTCTTTTATGCTTGAAAGAACAATCAGCATTAAAAGTGGGATAATTTAATTATTGCCTCTAAATTATTTTGATATGGGATGACTGAAAAATTCATGGTTATCTAAACTATATGATTAGTAATATCGGGTACTCCCTATTATTACAGTGTAGAATGGATTGGTTAGTTTGCCTTGAACTCCCCTGTTTACCTTGAGGAAAACTACACTCACAGGAGATCAACAAATATTGAAAGGGAGTAATCTACTGATTTGGATAATTTCAGTAATCTTTGAGAGCAACCCTGTGTTTCAGAGTTGAGCATTTAATAGTTCATTAAAAATTTTCCTCTTATTTAAAGGCTGAATTTGCCAAAGAAGAAAAAGAAGGCAGATCATGAGGATGAAGAGCGAGACAACTCTATGAAGTGCAGTAATAGTGTTGAGCAGCTGGACACGGATGGAGACAATTCCAGTGAAGTGTCTAGTGAGATTAACTTCAGCTATGAATATGCCCAGATGGAAGTCACTATGAAGGCACTTGGTAGTAATGGTAAGAGGCAACAGAAATGATTGGAAATATGTACAGAATACAGGGTTAACATCTTCAGGGACTCTTAACCACAAACTTTTTCCCTTATAACTTCCTATTGGAGAATTTTTCTTGTGAATGAGTCATCATAGCCACTTTTGCACTTGAGGGGAAAAAAAAACCCATTGCAGACTGTTTTGTTTGGCAGTTCTTGTTGAGGGCAAATCCAAAACCGGAATATTGGTGGCACTGCAGCCTCAAATCAAAGTGTTTTCACTTTGTTGTTTATTTTTCTTGTGTTATGTCTCAGTCCGGCATCGACTGTAGTGATTTCTGTCTCGGAAACTATGTTCTTTAGTTTTTGTGGTCTTACATAGCTGTCCCAGAATGACGTTATTTTGGGAAACAGTAGGAATGTTTTTTTCATTTTGGTCTTTCCCTTTTCTCAGTTCTCTTAAATCATCCATTCAATCTGCTCTGTCGATGTTTAATTTGCTCCACAGTTCAGCACCATTTTTTAATATGCATTACAATGAAAATATAATCTTTCCCTCCTTTTATATGATAACAGTGTTTACTGTCTAGGACGTTCCTCACCATGGATTTCAGTGGCTACTGCAGGCTCTAACATGAAAAACTGCAAATATAGGATGGGGAGGGAACTACCAATGATAGTAAATTGTGCCTTGCCCAAGGTCATACAGCATATCTGTAGCAGGACTTGGTAAAGATCTCACCTTTCCAAGTCCCCCATCTCTGCCCCATATTCATGACATGACTGTTTCCATTTAATTTTATGGTTACCAGGTATTTGACCCCCAGAAGTACTAGCTTCTTTATTTTCAACATCTGATTAGATCCAATGCAGTCAATCTTGCAAAGCCTGGAGCAGCAGCACGAAGAGGAGAAGAGATCTGCCCTCGAGCGCCAGAGACTGATGTATGAACACGAACTGGAGCAGTTACGACGGCGACTGTCGCCAGAGAAGCAGCATTTCCGCAGCATGGACAGGTTCTCCTTTCATTCTCCCAGCGCTCAGCAGCGCTTAAGGCAGTGGGCAGAGGAGAGGTGGGTCATCAAAGCTGACCATGAGTGTTCATTGAAAGTTCTTCAAGTGCTAGTGAATTTTGCAAGTTTTTAATTTTTAACAAGAGGGAACAGCTTTAAACTGCAACAGGGAAGGGTCAGACTGGACATGAGGAGAAAAATTTCTCCCAGCAAGAGTGGTCAGAGAGTGAAACAGACTGCCCAGGGAGGGGGGAGTCCCCATCCCTGGGGGGGTTTCAGGGCCGTTGGGATGAGCTGTGGGGGATGTGGGGTAGGGGAGAACTGTGTAGAGTCGGGCTGAGGGTTGGACTCGGTGATCCCGAGGGGCTTTTCCAACCCGAGTGATTCTGGGATTCTGTAATTGCATTGCACACCTTTGCCAAATTTCTGAGAGGGCTCCTGTTGGGGAGGACCGCAAAAATATTAGCATAAGAACAATCAGTCCTATAATGTTACAAAAGGTGAGAAAGAATGAGTGCCTACTTTGTTGTTAAGGAGAAACTCTATCTTGATTGGCAATAGATTTGACTAAAGATGAGGTGATTGGAAGAAATACTGGGACTCCTGTGAGTTTGTTCTTCTGTGGGTCGTGACTCAGCTGCTGGAAGGTTGTTTTTCCTCTTGACTCACATCCACCTGTCTGACCTGGGCAGGTCCTGGCAACCAGAAGTGTGCAGAAAGAAAAGGGAATACGAGGATGATACAAAGAATTTTGATCCAGAGCATTGCAAAAAGCTGTTAATAACCACAGAGGGGCCACTGTCCTCTTTTGCCTCTTCCTGGGCAATTGCACTGAAGTTATTTACTTCAGCCTCTAAATGATTGTTTTCAGTATTACTGTCAGAAAGAGCAGCTGCAGGAGGAAGATGAAATGTACCCTAAAGCAATGAGTATTGTAAAGACATTGTAATGAGAAGATACAAATTAATTTATATGCCTAGAGAAGCAGCTTTTGAAATAGAAAGTATTTGAGACAATCTAACAAGGTGTTAGCTGTGTGTCTGGAATGTTTTGTGGTACCAGATTCCTGCTGCACAGTTGGCACACTCTCACGCTTGCCAGGAAGGCCAGTGAGCAAGTGGGTCATGGTGTCTGAATAAACCTTTCTCTGTAAGATGGAACATCCACATCTGTGGTGGGGAAACCCTGGAATAAGCCACACAAGAGCTGACTGTTCAGCAGATGCATGGAGAAGTCTCCAAAGCCAGCAGTATGCTAAATTTGTGCAGATAATTTTTTTTTTTTTTTCCCCAAGAAAATGCAATTCAATTCACCTGATTTTTTTTGTTGTTGTTTGTTTTAAAAAGCTGAATGTTAAGACTCCTTCCTATCAGGTACTGATTTGCTTGCACTTAGTTTCAGTACTTAAATGCCATAATTTTTCCCATCTCCCCTTTCAAATCCCCCTTTTTTTTTACAGAGAAGAAATGTTGACCCACAGCCTGAGAAAGCTGCGAGAGCAGATTGTTAAAGCCAATTTGTATGTGAGAGAAGCCAATTTTATTGGAGAGGAATTGGACAAGAGAACAGAATATAAAGTTACCCTCCAGATTCCAGCTTCAAGCCTTAATGCTAACAGTAAGGTAAGATAGCCCTGATGGAACTAAATCATTGCTCAGTAAGTTTGCCCCTCAGCGTTTATATTTGTTATATTTTGACTTGTAATGGTCTGGATAGTTTTCCAGTCTGTTCATGTGCACTAAACAGGGCTCTGTTCAGCGCATGCTACGCCCTTACCTTATTTTTTTACCATGAAAATCTTACAGTGTGCTATCTTACTGAGAAATGTTTTGGTGTAAGACCTTTCCCCTGGTGTTGGAAGTTCACACTTGCTTCTGTTCCAGTGCTAAAATATGGTCAGGGTAGGTAACATCTATTTCAAGTATATACCATCACCTTGTGGACATTTGGCTTTACATCAGCCTAATGAGCTGAGAAAATGCTGTCATCCCCGTTGTGCAGGGAGGAACTGAATTATTTGTTCCAGGTATTTTAGAAATTTGGAAAGGAGGGAACTGAACCCAGACTTCCATGTCTCAGGCTGGCTCCCTAAGGTGGTATTATTTTTGTTCTTGAGGTCAGCTCAATATTTTGGTGATACTCAGGCCATCGTTAGTACAGAAGATGTATTTTATTCCAGGATTATAATTTTTATCAGTTACTTTAGAAATTTTTCTGGTCTGCTTTTTTTTTTTCTTGCAGCCTTCAGGCACATCTAGAAACAGGCTGGTAAAGAGGGTTAAGCATCTGCACTAGTTGAAAGTTGCAGACACTAGTAACCTTAGCTGGAACTCCAAGCCTGCTGTAACTTGAGAATATTTGTGAAATGTGTAAATGTTCCTATTTCTAACAGTTATGTAAGGTGAAAATCCACAGAAACTAGTGGTAGTAGCTGTGATCAGACTTTGCAATTAAACTATACACGGATATACTGTGACAGCTGAACTCGGAGACTGTCACGCTTGAATTTGGTTGTTCAAGCTACAATAAAAAAAGAACAAAATCCAGACTTTTCCCAAAGATGTTCTCAGTTTTGTATTGGTTTTAAACTATTGCTTCACTGTTGTGACATGAAATCCTTATCGATATCTCTTTGTTTCACAGAGAGGTGCGATTCTCAGTGAGCCTGCTATTCAGGTGAGAAGAAAAGGGAAAGGCAAGCAGATCTGGTCACTGGAAAAGCTGGAGAATCGACTGGTAGATATGAGGGATCTTTACCAGGAGTGGAAAGACTGTGAGGAAGACAATCCAGTAAGTAAAAATTACTCCAGTATTGTACTGATAGAATTACATCCCTGTGAAAATTTTTTTGTTTAACTAGATGTGAGAAAATCTTGGGGACAGGGGGAGGAGGTGTACATGAAGAGGTTAAGTTTTCCTGAGCCTTTGCTTTCCCTAGTACTGAGTGGACCTTCAGCATTTCATTAACCCTTATCTTGTCACTCTGATGCTTGTTTGCATGCATAGTTAATGACCAAACCGAGCATGCAATAAGAAGCAGTAAGTAAACAAAAGAGGGTGTTCAGTTGATGTTCAGTCTGACTTCTCTGATCTGACAACATTAAAGAGAACTTGCTGAGGACAGGCCTTATGCTCGGTCCCAAGAAAAACTCGAGCTTCCGTTGTTCATATGATATAATTGGATGAGGGATTATTGGATGAGGGAAGGGCTGTGGATGTTGTTTACCTTGACTTTAGCAAGGCCTTAGGCACTGTTTCTCACAGCATTCTCCTGGTGAAACTGGCTGCTCGTGGCTTGGATGGGCACACGCTTTGCTGGGTAAAAAAACTGTCTGGATGGTCTGGCCCAAAGAGTTGTGGTGAATGGAGTTAAATCTGGTTGGCGGCTCGTCACATCACGAGTGGTGACCCCAGGGCTCGGTTTTGGGGCCACCCCTGTTTAACATCTTTACTGATGATCTAGATGAGGGGATCGAGGGCAATCTCAGTCAGTTTGCAGCTGACACCCAGCTGGGTGGGAGTGTTGATCTGCTTGAGGGTGGGGAGGCTGCAGAGAGACCTGGACAGGGGCTGCCCTTGGGCCACAACAACCCCCAGGGGGGCTACAGGCCTGGGGAGGAGTGGCTGGAGAGCTGCCGGTCAGAGAGGGACTGGGGGGTGAGAATGAGCCAGAGTGTGCCCAGGGGGCCAAGGAGGGCAACGGCATCCTGGCTGGTGTCAGCACTGGCGTGGCCAGCAGGGACAGGGAAGGGATCTGAGCCCTGGGCTCGGCACTGGGGAGGCCGCCCCTCGCTGAGTGGGTTCAGTTCTGGGCCCCTCACCCCAAAAAGGCCATTGAATGACTCGAGCGTGGCCAGAGAAGGGCAACGGAGCTGGGGCAGGGTCTGGAGCACAGGTCTGCTGGGGAGCGGCTGGGGGAACTGGGGGGGTTCAGTCTGGAGCAGAGGAGGCTGAGGGGAGACCTCCTGGCCCTCTGCAACTCCCTGCCAGGAGGGGGCAGAGAGGGGGGATGAGTCTCTGGAGCCAAGGCCCCAGCGCCAGGCCCCGAGGGAATGGCCTCAAGCTGCCCAGGGCAGGGTCAGGCTGGCTCTGAGGAAGGATTTCTGTGCAGAAGGGGCTGTTGGGCGTTGGAATGGGCTGCCCAGGGCAGGGGGGAGTCCCCGGGATCCCTGGAGGGGTTGAAGAGTCGGGCTGAGCCAGCGCTGAGGGATCTGGGGGAGTTGGGAACGGTCAGGGGGAGGTGAATGGTGGGGCTGGAGGAACTTCAGGGGCTTTTCCAACCCAGATGATTCTGTGATTCTGTGATCTAGCCTCTTGCTTGAGTCGTTTTTTCTTTCATTAGACTGGTTGTGCAATACTGAAAACTGTTTCATGAAAAGCTTGTTTTTCTTACATTATTCTGAATTTGATTGAAGGTGATGAGAGCTTACTTCAGGCGAGCTGATCCATTCTACGATGAGCAGGAAAACCACAGCCTCATCGGAGTAGCCAATGTTTTTCTTGAGTGCCTGTTCTATGATGTGAAGCTACAATATGCTGTTCCAATCATCAATCAGAAGGGAGAGGTTTGTCATTCTTCTATAATCTGTCCTTACTCAACTGTTTAATTACAGCACATTATTACCAGTATATAGTAGATATTTTTCAGTTTCATGTGCCCAATTTTTTTGCTAACAATTTTTAGTTACACAAATCCCATAATACCTTACCAGAGTTGTTTAGACAGCTCTGAATTCCATCACAGTGATTGTGAAAGGAAGAAGCTTTGTGAGCACCTTTCTGGACAAAGCAGCCCAAAATAAGTTATTAGTAGAGTGAGTATGAGCTGTAGCTCCACTGGCTTTCACCGAGTACCATCCAGAGCAGTCACTTAACTATACACTGCAAGAACAACTTCAAAGGCAGCTAGAGCATACCAGGCAACATTCTCTGTGCTCTGCATCACCTGTGCACTTCACAGACTCTCTAAAGAGTGGTATGAAGGTGAGGATGAATGCAGCATGCTGTTCCCAAAGTCACTCTAGTGGCCAATTTCTTGATGATTATACTACAGAGACTCTTTGATTCTTGCTCCAAAGTGTTCTTCAACTGGTGGAACAAATTCAGAGTGCAAAACAATAGAAAGGAATAAAATGTTTTCTGCTTATAAACTGGAAACAGCAGTAGTTGTAGTTACCTGAAGGGGTGAACATGTCGCTGTTTTCTGGCACACAAGTAATTCTTACTTCTCTCTTTTTAGGTGTCAGGTCGTCTCCACATTGAAGTTGTTCGAGTGAGTGGAGAGATAGATGACAGGTTGGTTGGAGGTGAGGATAGTCCAGACTATTCAAATGAAAATGACACTCAGGAGAGAAAACTTGTCTGCAGGGTGAGTTCCAGATATATCCCAACCTCTGAGCAACCTTCTGTCTTTCCATTGCAAGACTTAGAGAAGTCCCTGGCACACTGGCTTCTGGAGATTAGGTGTCTCCTTGTAATCTCCTGCACCGGATTCGCTTCCAGTACCAGCTACACGGCAGAGTCCTGTCTTTAAACTCATTGACTGACTATATGAAACTGTATTGATGTTTCAGGATTTAAAAAAAAAAAAGGGGGCAAATAATTTAGCTGTACCTAAATTCAGAATTCTAAATTTAATTCTAAATTTAAACTCTGTATGTACAGAGTTTAATACTTTTGCTGTATTTGTTTCATGGCTTCACCTAAATGTCCTCATGCCCAGCATTTGGCCTGAAGTACTGCTGCTATCTTTTCTCAGATATTTTGTTTCTGGAGTGGCTGAAATAGTAGAGAACTAGATGGTTTTTATTTCTTTCAATCTCCCATTATTTTTTTTTTAACCTGCAAGGTATTCATTAAACTGTACTTATACGCATTCAGTCTTACCCTAGACAGTTTATTGTAGTCTTGGAAGACATGAGAGATCTGTGCACTAAGGATTGGAGCTCCAATGTCTAATTCAAAAGGAGTCACAGAATCGGATAAAGTCCCATTGTTCTGTGAATCATTCTCCCTCAATATGTGTGTTTAAATATTCAGTATTTTGTGAAATATATGCAGGTGTGGTTATAATTGTTAGTAATAGAAAGTTAGCAGGAAGTATTTAGTAGCAGTTCTGTGTTGTAGTAAAACTCAAGATAGGCTAAGCTACAGATTAGTAAAGAGGGAGGCAAAAAGCACTAGAGGGAGTGATCTCCAACTCTGCTGCCCCTGGACAACATGAACAATTTGGTGGAAATCGTACTCCTTTTCACTTTTTATTCTGCCCCATAGAGCTCCATGTGCTTGCAAGCAGTATGGGGCATTGGTTGCAGGAAACATTCTCCTGAGGATCCGAGTGCTGCCTTACTATAGAAGTCTAATTTGATCTTAATTTGACAAGTGGGGAATAGAAATTTATTAAATAATATGGTTAATATGATGGCTTTGTTTAGATCAGAAGGTGTATTTAAAACATTTTGTTTCTGTTTAGCAGAGGGGACAGGCTACGCTTGTATTATTGGGGTTATTTTTGCTTGATTTATAGGATCACAGAAGGACAAGTCATATCTTGAAACAACTATTTTGCAGAATATAGGAGCCATTTTTGGTAGAAGTGTGAGAATTTTATTGTAGACCTCTTCAGTTACAACGTATTTGGTGCATCTCACCATTAAAAATTAGCGAAATGTTTGTGAAGTTCAGCCCTTTAGCTTTCATTCCCAAGAACTATGTCCCTTGTGACATCTAGTGGCGATGTTCAGCTGGTGCACCCCAAATATTGTCTCCAATGTATATCAATGCAGAAATTTATATTTTCTAGTTTTTTCTGCCTTTTTTTTTTGTTATTATTCGCAGTGCAACATAATAACATTGTTCCAACACAAGATATATTTAATTTTATGCCCAATGAGTAAGAGCTTTTCCTTTATTTCTCATCCCTCTTCTAGATTAAAATACTTCAAGCTACCGGTTTGCCACAGCACCTCTCCAACTTTGTGTTCTGCAAATATACATTCTGGGATCAACTGGAGCCAGTTAATGTTGCACCTGAGGTGGATCCTTCCTTATCTTCCACCAGCAAGGAGCCGCGGTGCATGGTTGTCTTTGATCACTGCAATGTAATTTTTTTTTTTTATTTTATTAATAAAACTGCAGGCAGGCAAAGCATGTTTATGCTTGTATAACAATTTAGGTGCCTCTTTGCTCACATTATAATATTTCGTGAGGCTAATAGCCTAATACTGTTTTTAATAAGCTCTTAAACATCTGCAGAGCCCATATAAGTTTGATTGTTCTACACTGTTCACTTGTACAAAAATCACAGAAGGTGAAGTGAATTAATAATGGAAAGCAATTTAATAAAGGAAACCGGTCTGTTCAGCAGAGAGACTTATGTTAGAGTTTACCCACACTAAAAATGCTGCTGACTGTGAATGGAGTCTGAATACATTTGCCCTCCATATCTGAGCTGATCACTCTACACTCTGATGTAGCAGAGAGAAATGTCCCAGTCCTGAGACATGATGCCTGTTGTCCTAATGTAGATGTTGAAGTGAGGTGGTGGGTCTCAGAGCAGACTGTTTCTATTGACTTTCAAGCGACTGTCTGAATGGAGGCATCTTTAATATCTAAAGTCAGCTTAGATGAATGCCAACCAATTGCCTGAATTCTCTTCTTTCTAAAATTTGGCATGACACTGATCAATTTATTCCACTTAGCATTTGTAAAAGAGATATAATACCTTCTGATGAGTTTTGGTTTTCTGATTCTGAACATTAGAACATATTAGAACATTTTGGTTTTTAAACCATCTGATCAGGGCTTGGGACAGCATGCAGTCAGTTTTCAGCTCTTTACACACTCTAATCTTCAGCAAATTCTGTATTTTTGCCTTGCTTAACTGATTTTGCAAACTGAGGTGACAGTTCTCCCTTTTCTCTATATTGTGTCTTGGGGATCAGGGTGACTTTACTACAAGCTGGTATTAAATCTCTAAGCCTAAATCATTGTCTACTCATAGTCATCAAACGATTTGTCACTTACAGGAAGTTTCTGTAAATATTTCCGAAGACTTCATGGAACATCTTTATGATGGTGCTTTGGCAATTGAGGTATATGGGCACAAGCAGAGTGGTGACCGCAAAAATCCAGCCCTGTGGGATTTGGGAATAATTCAAGCCAAAACACGCAGCCTTCGTGACAGGTAAGCATGGAAGATAGGTCTTTGGTTTAGAATTGTGAAAAATCACTGTCTGAGGTGCCCAATTTTGAAGCAGGTTTGGGATAAGTAGTCAAATTTTGAACTGAAGGCAACTGACCATGTGTTTTGAGACTGTATCTATTGGACTATTATAAATAGACTCTGTCTATTGGAAAAATACAGTGTGATGTATCAGTAGGGTTTAAAAAAGTGAAAGAGGAGAAATGCCCATCTCTGTTTCAAATTAAAAGTGGTAAAACTTGAGACTTTCAAGTCCCTCATATTTAGGAAAACTCAAGTGTTTTACAAAAGAGTAAGCTGATTATTTTCCTTTATGTTGTGACGCTAGTCTGTGCCAGAAAGAGCTAGCAAGTCTAAAACAGCAAAGAAGTTGTTCTGACTGTATGCTGATACATTTATTCAAGGCCTGACTCTAATTCATTCTTGGCCATGAAATGTCATCACTTCCATTGGAAGAGCTGTATTGCTAATTACTTCAGTTGAAGTAAACATGCATCTGTATGG